TATATATAAAATACTTTGCATTTTAAAATCAACTTCTAAATGTCTGTTCAGTAATCCCAATAACATGACACAATTTCATTTAGGTGCTTCTAATTAAGTGATAAAAAGCAGTTGCAAATGTTGTACAAAATAAATATCACCACTGCTCATCTTAGCACCAATAATATGTGCAACACTTTGTTTTTCTACCAAATTATATAATATCTAATTAGTCTATTATACATTGGAAACGTTTCTGTGAACTCTCCCGAGATCTCGGCAAAAAGTCTCACGATTTAGTTCCAGAACATGATGCATGATGATACACTAAACCTCGAATAGCACTCTGGAGCAGTATTTGAGATAGTGTGGATTTAGTGTGCTTTAAGGACACTGCGATTTGGCGTTTTTAAGACCTGGGACAGTCTTGCCCACTTACTTCCTGTCACGCGCACGTGCTCTCAAGTGGCCAAAACCGCCAAAGTGTGGGTATCACTGACAGAGGAACTGTTTACTGATGATGTTGACCATTCTTCAGCTGAGTTTAACCACTTCAGCTCTGCAGCATATTTTTTTTTTTTTTTAGAGAATTAGGCATATCTGAATTTAAAGGGGTCATATGATGCTGCTAAAAAGAACATTATTTTGTGTATTTGAAGCTGAGGCCGGGCAAGAGTGAGCTGAGGCGGCGGGATCGAAAACGGCGGTCCCGGTGGATCCGACGAAGGAGTGGTGAAAACGGTGAAAGCCGATCCGGTGATCCACAGCACTAAGTTGATGTATTCCCTCAGCTAGTGAGGTAGATATGTGGGGGCGTGTTAGAACGAGCCGTTTTAGGTAGGCGTGGCTGACTCTTAACTTTTATAAAGAATATCTCTTTGGATTTGAGACTTTAGTCTTTGCAACTTTACAGATCTTCTTTATGCACCAAGAGCTTATAACACTCCAAAGAGAAAGGAAAAAATTAAATTGCATCATATGACCCCTTTAAAAGAGCGCCCTACCTACATACATTGGAGTAAATTGATAAAAATTTTAACAGTGGTGGAATATTGCATATAATATATTGTATTTATTCTCAATTTTATAATAAACACATATAAAAAGTGATATTTTGAATTTTTTTTTATTATTATTTTTAAAAATCTGTAATTTAGGATCTATTTGGTCAATGTCCCTGCAGAAAGTTTCTCTTGATTCCACTAGGTGGCAGTAAACAGAGGAAAAAATAATCTAATTGATATCTGCTAATAAACAAAATATATTTAGATTTTACTGAAAGGAGGTATTGGTGTCTCCAAGTGTACCTTTACCGTCTCAATTTTTGATTTCTGAAAGAATCGGGCATACCTGAATTTAAAAGAGCGCCTTACCCATATACATTGGAGTAAAAGGATCAAAATGGTCTCAATTTACAGAAAACCCTCTAAATTTTAGCACAGTGGTGGAATATTACATATATTTTATTGTATATATTCACAATTTTATAATAAATACAGATAAAGTCATATTTGTATTAATTTTTCATTAAAGTTTTTTTGAGAGTCTAATTTAGGACCTGTTTGATTTATTTCACTGCAGGGGGATTCTTTTGAATCCTCTATATGCCAGTAAATAGAGAAAAGAATAATTATCTTTTTATAACCTTCTTCACAAAAGTTATTGAGCTTTAACCGAAGGGAGGCAATGTCTTTTCTGAAGTCTCCCATTTTCATCCATTAACACAAATTATTCAAAGTGCAAAAACAGGCTTATTACCTGTAAAACACTATTTTTACTATGCGTTACACTTGACAAGAGAATGATCCAACACTTTATCACCTAACTTGACCCATGTTGGCCCATTATATACCTAAGCAAAATGAGAGTAAGTAGCAGTTCTTGCATTTTATTATGCACAAGATAATAAACTCCAAGAAAATAAATCAAATGTATAGAGAAAAATGTGCAAAAAGCAGTGCAAAAACACAATATACAAATTTAATATGTAAAACAACTATATACAGAATATAGTAACTATAAAAAAAGTCAATAAGCTGCTATAGAAAAAAAAATGGAGGCCAACTTTTAGTTTTTGTTTGTTGCTTTGTCAACAGTTTTCATCGGTTGCAAACTTGTGTCCATCAGTGTGCCATTTTCTAAAACAGTTTCTAGATGGCACCAAGCACAGGGGTCATAGGAGTCTTTACTTTGAGGCCTGAAAGTTTGCACAAAGCACAAACTCTCCTCCCACTTGTGGCATCTGACCCAAAGTACTCTGGACAGCATGGCTCTCCTGCTGATATGGCAGATGTGGACGGCTCTGGGGCATGCAATGTGGACGTGGATGGCTCTGGGGCATGCGATGTGGATGCAGACAGCTCTGGGGCATGAGATGTGGATGGCTCTGGCCAGCTCAGACACAAGTCTCTCTCTAAATTGAGAGGACTTTTGTTCTGAGCTTTGGAGAGATGCTGGTGGAGAATGAAACTTTACCACCGCAATGTCAACAAAATGGGGAAAAAAAGTCTTGTACCATTTTGTGGTTTTGTGCAGGACATTATAGTACCCAATTAGGGCATCTGACAGGTCCACAACTCCCATATATTTATTATAGTCCTTCACTGCCGCTGGAATCGGGATTCTGCGTCTTTCCCATTCACCCTCTGGATTCTTGACACGCCTAAGGACTGCATCACCGTCATATGCCTTGTGCATTGTCGAACACACTGTAACCTCTCGTGTGTCCATCCACTTCACAAAGAGAAGCTTCCCGTCTCTGAGCCATCGTATGGTTCCCCTTTGGTCTCTGCGACTGAGGTCATTTGCCTTCGTTCTGGGGAAGCCCCGCCGGTTGGTGCGTATTGTGCCACACGCCAGAGTCTTCTTAGCGAGCAAGTCCATAAAAAGGCACGGGCTTGTGTAAAAGTTATCTATAAACAGCTGGTAGCCTTTGCCAAGAAGTGACAGATCCAGGAGCTGCATTACAGAATCATAACTGAGCCCTTTTCCAGTGGCCAGGGAATATTTGCCTTCATAGACAAAGAAGTTCCAAGTGAAACCACAGGCAGAATCAGCAAGCACGTAGAGTTTGTAGCCCCACTTGGTCGGCTTGTCTTTCATGTACTGCTTGATGCCGATTCGTGCCCTTGTAGCCACCATCCTCTCGTCCACTGCCAGCTGTCTGTCTGGATGGAAGTAAGTTTTGCAAGCGGAGACGATGTCGTTGTACAGGGGCTTGATTTTGAAAAATCTGTCGTAGGCTTGAGTCCCCTTTTTTTGTGAGTTCTCTCGATCATCCTCAGGATCGCAAATATGCAGGTTCCAAGAAATGGCCTGAAATCTGGATATGGACATAACGGATTTTGGGAAGGGCAAGCAGTAAATTTCTTTGCCAGACCAGTAATCGATGATATTTTTGGCACCGAGGAGGCCCATGTAAATGACAAGTGCAATGTATGAATACAGTTCCTCTGCCTTCAAAGGCAACCAAAGGAAATGTTTTCCAGCCTCAGACCTCATTCTTGCAAAGGTGTTTGTGTTCTTCACAATGGTGTCCACCACAGAGCCTGTGAAGAAGAGCTGAAAGAGCTGCAATGGGGAATAGATCCTGTCCATTACAAGCTGCGCTCCTGGGTTTCGTTTTAGAAAGAAATTTGGTAAAGCTGGAACTTCATCCTCCACACTGCAGTCATTCCACCTTTGTGTGCCATCATTCACTGACATCGCACTTGCTGACCTTTTTGTACCCCGTCCAGAATGAGGCCTCCCTTTGTTTTGCTTGCTGGGAGTTGGCTGTGGCCTCACAGTATCACCAGCAGAAGGTGTGGGGGTCTTGGAGGTGGGGGGTAGGCAAACAACCTCCTTGCTGGTGCTTGGCAGCAATTCTTCAACACTGGAATCTAGACAGCAAAACAAAATAAA